ACTGTCAACACCACCTTGTATTTGACATTAGAAAATAATTGTCGTTGGCTTTGGCGATCAACTAAACAAATTTTTTAATACAACTAGAGAAATTATATGTGAAAAATGGAACCAATGACTTTAGGCAGTCCTAGCGGCAGTCCGGCTACTAATCCCAGCCCATATTTGCCAGCTTTTCTGATGGGTGAAAGCCAGGTTCCGACAACACCACGCAACACGCTCTCACCAAATAAGGGTAGCAGAAACATTTCTTTTGGTAAGTAGTTACTTTCGAATAATACTGGACGAAGTGTTAAAAGAAAGCCTTTTAACAATTTTAGCAACGTCGCCAATACAAAATACTCCATCAGGTCCTCTTAGAGATCACAATCGTTTTTCGGTCGGACAAAAACAACTTTTCAATAGTAGTGTAAGTGCCAACTATTCAGGCACTCAAGGTCCACCTACCCAAGGATTATTCGATTCTTTGCGTAATGAACGAAATCTTGCAGAGACGCCAACACGTGGTATTGAATCACAATCGCCTCTTGGTTTTGGTACACCAATTGCCGCTCAACACAATCTGAGTGCTTTCGGAGGTAATACAAGTTTTCAACAGCACCATCTGCAGCAAAAACAATTTACGCCACAGTCAACAGCTCCATACAATGATTCATCGTACCTAGCCAATACCTCATATAATACATCACGCTGCATAACTTCGCCAATAGGACCGCTAGGTACACCTAATGCAAACGGGGCTATTAATAATGCTTCATATATGTTGCAATGCCCGCCAACACCACGTTATACGGAATTTTGGGTGACCGTTTTTGGCTTCCCGCCTAGCGCGATTTCAACGATTCTGCAGCACTTTGCTCAATGCGGCACTATAGTTGATAAAGTATTTCCCCCTCAAAATGGGAATTGGGTTCACTTGAAGTATGCCTCAAGATTAGAATGCGATAAGGCTCTGAATTATAATGAGAAAATATTGGGCAACAACATAATGATTGGTGTAACACAATGCAAGGATAAAAATATCATCGACAAAGAAAATGTGTGCGATAATAATACGTAAGTGTAAAAAATTAGATCGTATTAAATTTTTTTCTATTAACTCTTATTATCGCAGACAACCAAGCAAGGTACGACCATTAGCGCAAACTGCCTACAAAAGTGCCCAAAATGACTCTGCTGTTGTTAACAATGCAAATTTGCCTCAAAAAAGCTCTGGTTTGATGAATAAAGCAATGGACTTGTTTTTTGGTTGGTAAAATAGATGCAATATTTTGGATTGTGCATTTTTATTAATAATTGGTTTAACTGGTTCAAATAAACAATATGTAGTAATTTTTATATTCTTACTATTCTTTTTAATCAAATAAACAATATGTAGTAATTTTTATATTCTTACTATTCTTTTTAATCAGTGTTGCATAAAACGTTCCAAAAATTATTCGGCCCTAGGCTGAATATCGTCATCATCGTCGACGATCGTCAGCGCATCAGTAACATGGCTGACGGTGGCCGTATCGTCACTTTTCCTGACGATGACGATATTCAACATACGGCGAATTTTTCATTCCGTCTCTTAGAAAGTCCTTTGCTGTTGCCGTATATTTTCTTTAAAAAAAATATCCGAGATTTTTTTTATAGCAAGCTGCAAACTGATTTTATAGCCTTATTATCTATCTTACACGATAGGCTGCACGAACGATTCGTCTGCATAGCAAACTTCAAACACTTCCTGCGTCATCATTCTAGCCGTTGGTGTATATGAATGACCAGCGAATCATGGATGCAGGTTGACATGAACGAAAGACATGGTTCATGGCAGGTTGAAGACGATGTCCTCTTTCCATGCGATCTTAATGAGAATCGTTGTAGTCTGCGCACCTAATATTTGCAGAACGTAACCAAAACGATTGCAACGTTATCGACATAAACTCGAAAAATATTGCAGTCCAATTTTGGATGTTCAGTAAAAGCCTCGAGAATGATACAATTATTATTTTTTTCGTTTTTAACCGCCTCTAAAAAAATTGAGGTTATCAATTTACCGGATAATTTTTTTTATGTAGTGTAATTTAGCGTATTGAATTTTAAGCGATTCATTATGAAATTTTTGCTTAATTTTCGCCTTTTTGCAACCACGCTTAGATGGTAGTTTTCTACTAGGTTGCGGTTAGACTTTTTCTTTGAGTGCGGTTTAGAAATAAAAGAAGACTGATGGTTTTTGTTTTGACGTTTTGGAATGCACCCATACACATACATAACTTCAAAGTGGATGGATACAAACAAATTCGGTATCAACATGGGATCCTTAGTATTTTCTGAAGAGCATGCTTTTTGTATTAATCAATATTGAAGTGTGTAGACAAATGTTCGACATATTCTGTGTAATGGGTCGTCAGATTGACCAACGACATAATTGTCCAAAATGTAATATCCTCGCGCTTTTATAATAACTTATTGTCATTTTTGTTTAATCTATTATTTTTTATTTGGATGTATAGGCGAATACATATATTTCGTTAAAATTATTTTTTACTAATAGATAATGCCAGCCGATAGAACCCTATAAAACTCTTTGTTTGTGATAATTTTCAATTTTACATTTTTCCCAACTCATGACCACATCGCAATCGAACTACTTGGGTTTGTCAATTAGAGCTGTCTCCAACTTAACCATCTTAGCGTAGTGAACGTCTCGACTGTCAAGTTTTGACTGAGCCCACAGGATCAACTTTAATAAGAACATCACTTTAGGAGTTGAATCGGTGCTATGCTCACACTTAAGTATTGCTGCATTAAGTTCACTCGCAATCTGTGGATAAAATTTTCGGGATACATTAAATAAAAATAATTGCCAAATTTTAGCATACCTTTTGCCTATGCGATTGTTCCAATAAATCTGCAAAAGGGCTATTTTGTGGCTTCTCAAAAGCTAAAAGAGCCAGTGTTCTTTCGAGTTCATTAAGCGCTTCGGGAATATCTTCACCCGCTTCAGATAGTTTATTTTGAGCAAATGTAAGAGCTTCTTCGATTTGTCCAGCTCTATGAATTATGAAAATCAATTAATTTCATGAGCAAATTATGTTTCACAAGTAAGATGTGTATTACCGAATTAATTCAATAAGTTGCAATTGTTGCAGGTGAAAGAATAAATAGCGGTTATTATCCAGTAGCTCAGGATGCAATTGATTAACGAGATGGGTTGCTTCCTGAATGCGTCCACTCTGAACGGCTTCACGTATGAGTATGCGGTCATCTAATGAGCTGAGTTCCACACTTGGTTCGAGTCCAGCCTCCAACTGGAATTTTTCGGCAGCCTCTTTGAACCCTTCTATAATATACAAAAACAATTGCGTTTTTAAAGTCTTGTTATCGTCATTTGGATTTTTTCACTTACCAGTCACCAAATAATTCATAATTAATCGATTCATGTCACTTTGTTTATAAGGGAATTGCTCCAACTTTCGCATCCAATCTTCCTTTGTTATACCATCACATTTTTCGTTGTAGCTCATTTTTTTATTCTTCCTTATTTTGCCAATTTTGAGGCTGTATTTTAAACACTCAACACCCGAAATAAATTTTCTTATATTAAACTAATGACAAACGGTTTTTAAATAGTTTTTTTCAAAAACTTTTTATAAAAATTTCGACTCATTAAAAAAACGTACAATTTTTACTTTTCTGATATTTTTCCGAAGCAGAACCAATTTTCAATTTGCTTTGCTCTCACCATTCGTTTGTTTGGTGTGTTCAGTTAGGTCGGTTTTAGTGGCCCTACACACGGATCGATTAATCGGTCAACCAGTTGACCAACCTACTTAACTAAATTCCCTACAAACGCACCAACCAGTGGCCGATTTCATTTGAGTAAAGCGAAGCGCACATTGGCGCGATTCTGTCGTTGCGAATACGTTGTGAATTCGGCTGTTAACTTCGAATCCGCAAACGTGCGCACACTTGAGCGATTTTTTCGCGTCGATTTCCGATGTACAATTCACTCAATTTTCCCTTTATTTCGTGTATTTTCGCACTCGGCGTGCCCAAATCGTACAAAATACTATTATTACGAACGTTTTTATTAGTTTTTGTACATTACACGTTTTTTTTTCTTTGCCTTTATTGCTGTGACACCTTTCTTCTTCTTCTTTGACGCCTTCAAAACGCTGCAAGCCGCGTTTCGAACGCGTCAATAGAGAAGAA